TCTCTCTCTCTCTCTCTCTCTCTCTCTCTCTCTCTCTCTCTCTCATCTCTCTTTCTTGCGATCTCGTTCTCTTCCTCTACCCTCTCCCTCTGTCTCTCTCTGTCTCTCTGTCTGTCGGTCTGTCTGTCTGTCTGTCTCTGTCTCTGTCTCTGTCTGTCTCTCTCTCTCTCTCTCTGTCTCTCTCTCTCCCTCCCCTGCCGCCCCCCCCCAATAATAATCCATAGCTTTCCTATCGTGTCTACTCTCCTACATTTCTGTCTCTTTAATATTTTCTTAATGATACTCTGAGGGCTATTTTTTAATTTGTCTCTCCATTCTGTCTTCGCAAATCAATCGCTGAGAACGATTAGAGGGCAATGGGAACTAAGGTACCTGTCGTTTTTCCTTTACTTAATACACACTTTAACGGTATATCTAGCTCTGTTCAAATCACGACATTTAAAACTGTACGCTCGAGTCTTCCTGTCTCAACCCCTATTTTGGTCACATGATGAAGATGCATATTTCTACAACCTCATGCTCTTGTTTCAAACGTGTTTTACTTCTTTCCCATTTCTTTTTTTCTTTTTTTTTTTTTGGTTTCTTTTTGGGACACCAGATTAAAAGTTTCCTTATGAGAGAAAGGAACAAGCTGACAGACAGCGCTGGCGTGCTGAGGAAGTCGCAAGACCCCAAAGTGCCACTCAGGTGACGCGTTGCCATGGAAACAAAGCGTGGTCAACCAGACAACCTACACAAAGGGAGACACGTCAGACGAGAGCTTCATACGCCTGGGACCGAAGGTTCTCTTATCCTCGTGTAGGTTCAAGCGATACAAAAGCTGATCATTTCTTTTTTGAAAAGGCTTCTTCAAAGCGAAGAATGTCGCTTGAAGCAGAGTTCTCAATGACATTCTTAGCCGTATTCATCTCACTGCTTCAGGCTTTCAGTATCCCATAACCCGTACCGTGGACGGAATGATATCACGTTTGATGGTCTAGTCTTGATTCTATATCTTGTGAAGGAGGGTCGTTCTTTTTCTTCTCATATAACAGTAAGGTAAAAAATAACCAAAAAAACAACAACAATCAAGTGGGTTATAGGATTTTCTTTTTTCCCCTTTTGTTTCGACACTTGACATCAAGCATAACCAATATAATAATATACAAAGGCTGCATACTTTGTGTAATAAAAGGAGAACCATTCACGGAGATTGTAGTCTTCACACCGTTACACAGTATTTTTCTTTTACAATAAGCGAATGGGATTGTTGTTGTTTTTAACTCAGTTTTTTCGCCCTCTTGACGTAGCTCTAGCCTGCCTCTATAGAACTATCCAAAACGCATTTCGGGATATTAAGCAGCACGTTTGAACGCAATTGATAATCATAGTTGAATAAGATAATGCTTTATTATACCAGAGGGGTTATAAAAGTGGCAACAACAATAAACCGTACTGATGACAATTTATGTACTAAAAGTAAGACTGAAAACATTTGTACGGATAAGAACACTAATAGAGCGTGATGCGTCTTGACCAAACTATCGGTACCATGACGATAAGGCACCCTCTTTCCTATTATTCATTGAATGGGTCAACGTGAGAGGAATTGTTTGTTTTTGTTTTGTTTTGGTAAGTGTTTTTACGGCGCTCGCAACTGCATAAGGTCATATGAGCGCCCGGGACACACCAAACATTTTCAATTGGTAGGAAATTTTGAATTTTGCCTGGGTGGCGGCCGAAGCCTACTCTTATCGATTTTAGACCACCAAGGGATCTTTAACGTGCACAACTTGCACACGGGCCCTCCGAGATTTTTCGCCCTTGTCCGAGAAGGCTAGGTGTAGATCTGGCAGAAAGACAGCAGGAAGAAGGAGCCAAGGAGTAGCAGTAGAAAGGCTGCATAAAGAGTCTGGAGCCCAGAGGAGGGGGCAAATGAGGTGAGGGGTGGGGACAGAAAGAGGAGACGAATGCAGACGACAGAATATTGCAAGAGAGAAGGAAAGAAGGTGAAAGGAGACAATTTTAGAGCAGAAAATTTTTCGGTCGCTACCCGGATTCGAAGCCGGGACCTTTGAATGAGAGGCCAACACCTTAACCTCTAGGCCACGAGAGCCCCCGTGAGAAGAATACAAAAAGATATTGTAAGTAGAATCGGTCATGTTTGGAGAGTGCCATTTAGAGTAACATTCCAAGCAGGGATGACGCTCCCATCAAAAAGAGACAAGAAGTACTTTGTGAGACTTTAAATCTGTACCCTTTCATCGACGAGAGGAGTTTTTTTAAGATTAAATATCTTACGCCCCCATCGACAAGAGGATTCTATGGCCACAACCGACTTGCAACAACCCCATGTTATAGTTGAGTAGTAAGATTTTTACGGCACTTGCAACACTATTATGTCATATAAGTGTAGATGATTTAAGGTGTTAATAGAGAGTAAGATATACAGGAAAAGAGGTGGAAAGATAAGTAAGATAGATCTTTCACTGAAAAGAAGGAGCAAACAACAACAGAGCAATTGCCAATCACCAACTACCTCATGTTTTCTTTGTTAATTATAACTCATTCTCTTCCCCTATTTAAACCAGTGTTTTTATTGAGTGTCTCGGTCTTTCTGCTATGACGTTATATTCCTCACAGCCTAGGTTGACCCTTTCAGATAGGGTCGCAGCCCGCCTTCTAAGTAATCCAAATTGCGTCGATGGGGGCGTAAAACACCTACCTAGCTATCTCCCTACCTACATGTTTCATCGTTTCTTTTCTTACCTGAAGACTGCCCTTGACACAATAGGCGGTCACAAGAGTGAGCACAGAAGATTCGAGGCACGCACCGATGAAACTGTTCACGTTTGTGTGTCGGAGGTCTCGCATCTGAGAGAAGAAAAAGAGGGAAAGGTTTTATGTGTTTCTTTGTTTGTTATTTTTTGTGAATTTATTTGTTTGTTTGTTTGCTTGTTTTGAGGGGGTTAAAAGGGACAATTTGAAGCTGCTAAATACACAGATAATAAAATAAATGACTTAAACTTCCTTGATCTCCGTGGGGAGATTCGGGTTAGAAAGACACACATGCATACATAATACACATTTAAACACACAAAATAATATGTTTACGAAGAATGCCACAAAGAATCTGTCCATACAAGATAATGTTTTTAAATCTTTCTACTAATAAGGAAAACTACAATTTAATTAATAAAACGATTCCCTATTGTTATTAAAGCAATGATAGCAATACAAACAAAAGACAATGAGGACGACAACAGCAGCATCATCAAACACAACAAAGACAACAGCAACAATAGAATCAAATACAACAACAATAATGACGACAACAACAACGGCAGTTCCGACTGCCAAAAAGACAAACGCATTTAACCCATAAAGATGACAAAACCTACCAATTTCATCTCCATCTTGTCTTTGCGTGTGAGGTCTGAGCTGTTGACGTTGAAGGTCTTCAGAGCCACCGTTTGGCCTTTATATTTTCCCACGTACGTGTAGACCTGGGCGTAAGAGTTGCGGGACTCCATGGATACCATACTGATACCCTGTAAGGACGACATAAAGATAAAAGGGTAAGTTAGGAGTCATTGCGACAGACAGAAGTCCGGGATTTGACCATTTAAGTGCGAGTTGATTGAGATATTTTTGCCTATGTGGAGGAAGAGAATTGTGGATGGGTAGATAGATAGATAGATAGATAGATAGATAGATAGATAGATAGATAGATAGATAGATAGATAGATAGATAGATAGATAGATAGATAGATAGATACCTGGGCGTAGGATAGGGGAACTATATGGATACCATACTGCCTAAAGGGGCGACAGGAAGATAGAAGAGTATCAGGGGTCATTACGGCAAGTATAAGTCCGGGACTTGTGAATTTCTAGATTTTGGGTGTGAAAAGGAAGGGATATGTGGATAAACAGGTTGATAGCAGGATAGACAGATATATAGATACATAGATAAATAGATAGAATGATAGATAGATAGACGGATGGATGGATGGATGATAGATAGATAGATAGATAGATAGATAGATGGATAGATAGATAGATAGATAAATAGATAGATAGATAGATAGATAGATAGATAGATAGATAGTCGCAGAAAAAGAACATGTTTCAGTGTGCGAGAATAATGTTTGGTTTAAGTCGGTACTCACACACATGAATATCGGCAGGTGCAATTTAAAGGAATAGAGAAAGACAACATAAACAGACAATCAGACTAATGTGTAAACAGGGACAGAGCGACACAGACAGGCTGACAAACAGACAGACAGACTGACAGACCCACACACAGACAGATAGAGATGAAGAGAGCAGAACAAACAGACCGACAGACAGACAGACAGACAGACAGACAGACAGACAGACAGACAAACAGACAAACAGACAAACAGACAGACAGACAGACAGACAGACAGACAAACAAACAGACAGATGTGTTGATAAAAAGACAGCTTCAACCCAAGAAGTACTCACGCAGTTGCTGATTGCGTTCACATTGTCATCACTGACCACTTTACGCTCCCACCTGCCTGTTCCCATCTCATTGCACTGGATGGTTGAGGCGTCGATCTTCCACAGCAGACCAGCTATCTCCTGCTCATAACGCCAATTCCTGGGATAGGATTAGGGCAATGAGATACACTCGGATTGGTGGGGAAGTGGGAGGGTGGGGGTAGTAGTGTAATCATCATCGCAATCACCATCATCATCATGATCATCATCATCATCATGATCATCATGATCATTTTTTGGTAAGCAGGGTAGGAGGGAGAGTCTTGTTTTAATTTTAGACAAAAATAAAATAACAATATAAAATGTTTAAATTTGTTTAATAG